CACGTGAAAATTTGGATATTATTTATAGAAATTTGTAAATCATATAAATAATATCCAAATTTTTACGTGGCCCTGATTAGTACCTAATCTTAATTACGTATATATATATGAATTTTTATTGGATCTATTATGCCGAAATCACAAACTTAATCGAATCGGCTGAAAATAGCTGTAACTATCTAGGCAATTTCTAATTAATTTATTTATAATAAATAAGACTTATCAGAAATAACTGATTCGAGCAAGAAAATTAATTTTCAATAATAAATTCCGTATGGTTTTTTTTTTATTACCGCCATTATCATAATTCCTGGGACACCTGTAAAAATTTGTCGAATGATTTTTCAGCCGATCTAGTTAATACGCTAACGCTAATAAAAGATTTATTATTACAGTATCGTATAGCAAAGTTTCTTTTTCATACTATTAATTGATAATTTTTTTATCTTTTAGTTATAGCCACTTTTATCAAAGACGCATTACTACCCTTAAATCTATATTATTGATTAAACAACACCCGTATTTATCTATCTGCAACCAATCTCCCTATTTAATAGAATCGCTAAACTAATATGACTGATATAACTGTTTTTATAATAAATTAAACAGTTTCAATAAAATTCTTCTCTAAAGTCAAAATTTATACTCAACATAATCGTTTTCCAATTTTTGATTCAAAATCTCGTTATTTTCTAGCATAACTAATCGTAACTATGGTAATAAATAGTAAGTTTTTGCCTTCTAAGTGAAGTTCTTCAGGTTCCCGATCTTTTTCCGATTATTTCACACAGTTACGAAGCTAAAGACAAAACCAAAAAAATGTTTTTTTTTATATTAGTGAAACGTTATGTTCCCAAAAGGTACTCTAAAGTGTATAAATAAGTTACCCGGGCAATCCTTCATGATATTTGCATAAGATATAGTGCCGTTAATACCTACTCCCACTCTAACATAGCTTTCACATTAACCCTAATTAAACTCAAATATTTAATTTAAATCCGAAGTAAACTTTAACTTGATGTTGTGAAACCGGAAACGTGATCTGACGTGACCACATGACCTCGGTAAATTCTAATTTGGATTTACCTCATAGGCAGAAGTTCGTCTGATTGGCTAATAAATTCAATTTAATTTTACATTATTTATACAGTTTGAAGTATTTTTTAGAAAAATTAAAACTGCGAAGAATAAACAAAAAAGAAACATATAAAAGTTTTATTAGGGTTGTAGGACTCCACCATTAAAAATAAACTCTATCAATTCTGGTTTTAGAGAAGTTAGCATAATAGCGACTTCTTAAAGATAGGCTATTACTGTGCTAACTTCTCTAAAACCAGGATTGATTGAGTTTATTTTTAATGGTTGAGTCCTACAACCCTAATAAAACTTTTACGTGTTTCTTTTTTGTTTATTTTTCGTAGTTTTATTTTTTCTAAAAAGTACTTTAAACTGTATAATTAAATTGAATTTATTAGCCAATCAGACGAACTTTTTCTGTCTATGAGGATTTACCGACCAGAAATTCCAGATCTGGCAGATATCCCAGATATGTCAGATTTGGAGGATTAATATAATTTGGGTGAAATGGCGGGGTTTATTGATGATTTTAAGGATATAGAAGATGTAAAAACCTGAATTAACAATTATAAATAAAGGCTCTTTTGGCCCTTCGGGAAGAATAACACCCGCCTTTGCTTTATTAAAAACATCCATATAATAATACAAGTATCCCAAATAAAGCATACAATACTATCTCTAAACTTCATACATAATAAACCTATACATTCACTAAATTGCTATCAGCCTAGTATTTCCTGAAAATTATCCTGAAACTCTGCTCGCCCACCCACCAAATCTAACGCATTTTTCGACCCAACTTAACCTAACTTTGGTTACACGTAGCAACCTTCGCTCAAGCGACAGATCGATTTTAGGATTGTCAACGTATAACATATATCGGATGTAAGTTATGATGGGTTACATGATTTTGTTTAATTTCACATTTACTTGTTTATGTACTCAATAACGCCATAATATTAGGTCACAGAAAATGATTTCTTAATTAAACTTTTGTGTTGTTCATTTTTTTTCAATTTTTGCGCTACGCGAGGTGAAATAATTTTTTTGTGAAGAATTAACCATTTCGTTTTAATTTAATTCATATCGGTCTAATTTAATTTTGTATGCAGCAAAAGCTATGTATTTATATAATAAACATATATAAACATATTGTAAAAGAACGAAGCTTTAATTTTGAGAATTGAATTTTAGGGATGAACATGTGGCGTGCTAAATTATTATAAACGCACACAGCTTTAGGCTTTCCTCATATTTGATATACTCTTGACTATATAAAGAATTGATAGTTCATATAGTAAATATTCTTTATTGTGATCCATAATATTGAAAGTTTTTTTTTTAAAAAAAAAGATCATTATAGAGTAGGTTTGCTATAAAATGCTTGGTATATCAAGAGTTAACTATATTTATTGACTAATAATAGTTTATACACAAACTGTATATGATACCGTTTATATTTTAGCGGTAACTTTGCATTAAATAGTCGATTTATAACGCTTGATTGATGGATAAGTCTAACTAAATAAAATTTGATTTTTTTTTTTGTGCTCACGAATAATATACATTTAGATAGTATATTATTTACTTTAAAATAGCTTTACAATATAAAAAATTATAGGGAATAAAGGTCACTATAATACAGTAATAATTCATATTAAGCTATTCAAGTTTTTTAAATAATTTGCATAAAAAGGTAATGAACTTAAAGGTTACAGTTTTTATTAATCATATTTTAGCCACTACATTATAAACTCATTTTCTCATTTTATTTATTTCAATTAGTTTATTAATACATCATATACGTAGCAACATATTAATAAAAAAAAGGGTTATCTCAAACACGAAGGTAATATATTTAATACGGTTTAATAATAAGAATAATAACCTATTACTTAAAGTTATTTAAAACACTGTTCAGACAGCGTACCACCTCTTTTGATTTATCCATATCGTAAAGATTAGAAAATTTTGCCAATTAAACTTGCCACTTCAAAATATCGTTGGTATTTTACAAAAAAGGGAAAGCCCACTTTATTTGTCATACGGTTTAAAGAGATATAATTACCATATATAAACTTAAAATCTTATATGTAGTTATTATATTTGTAACATCATATCAAAAGATATGTGTTAGCAATCATAAAAGAAAAAAGGGGGATTTCTTTAAAAAAAAAATTGGGGTTCCGAAAAAAAGTAATTGTTAATATCGTTGGCTTCAAAAAACGCGGTGTTGAATGAAGCTGGTTCGGGAATATCGAAATAAAAATCGCTACCATGGGTAAGGAATGTATTATTGTAATTATAATTAAAAGAATCTTCTTCTTTTTGAAAGTATGTATTTGAATCATACATTACATCGTAAGTGTTATTATCGAAAACCTTCGTCTCTAAAATATCTGAAGGTTGGGTGGGAATTTCTATATCTTGTGACTGCGAAGTCACAAAACTAAAATTTCCTCCTAATACGTTTGGATTTTTTTTTTTTTTATTTGGACTATATCTATAGTTGGGATACATTTCTTTATGTTTTTTAAGCGCCTTTAGTTCCAACTGCTTAAAAAAAATTCTCACCGAAGGTGGTTGTACATTCCACCTTTCTGCAGCTAATTTTGAAATCTTTATTAAGGAAATCTTTTCGTTTTGATGAAGTAACCGATATTTCGCTACAAAATCCTTACGAAAAAGAAGAAAACTATTCTGCGGTCTCGGTGGGTCGTCGGTTTTTCTTGAACGACGTAAATTGTTTGACGGATAAATTAAGTTTTCGACATCTAATGTCAATTCATTGATGGCATACTCATTTTGCAATGAGTGGCCATTTACACAAGAGGAAGAGCCAGCCCTAGTGACGTTAGGGGTGATATTCACAAATCGAATATCACGGCTCTTAGCAGTTTTACTTGCTCTCTTTTTCATAACGAAGTAACTAATGGAACATTACTTTTCAATTAAAAGAGAATTAAGTTTAGGGAGAGATTGCTTTTAAATAATAAAATTTCTACATTCCATATACGTACATAGATCGATTATTAAAATTAAATACTAATGGTTTTTCCGAATTACGCATTGTGCAACAAGAAAAAATCACAAATCAATGAGGTTTTATTTATGATGATCAAACTTTCTTATTATTCAATATTGTATGTGCGTATATATACATACACTAAAAAATCCTGATTTATTTAATCATTTCAACTTATTATTGCAACATTTTATTATTTATACAGGGGTTTCCACTTTCCGTAGATTACTCAAATAATTACCTCTAGGAATTTTATATTTTAGCGGCCCTTGCTCTTGTAATCTCTTTATACGGAAAACATAAATTTAAGGAAAACCATCGTACAACCATAAGCTGACAACAGCTGATGCTTGATATTGGTACATTCATAATTGACATCTGAAAAATATTGCTAATTGTAACGAAAGTTCGTATTAGTAATGACTAATCGGAAAAACCCAGATTGAGATTCGTGTTATCGTTAATGGGCGCCCAAAAATGGGAACAATAGCGAAAGTTACACAACCTTACGTCATTTAGCACATCTTATTGTTGGTTGAACTGCATACGTATAACCATTGGGCACATAACGACCAATCATTATTTGTCGTAGATCTGCTAGGTGCATCTGGGGGGATCCAATACTGTGATACCGGTAGATCGGAACGTACGTATGTACTGTACAGTACATATAAAGTAGCAGTAGTAACCAGGGCATAAAATACCTATTGATTTACCGGCCACTCCAAAAGTATCATTTTTGATTCATGATATACTAAGTTCGATTGGTGTATCAAAAACGATACTTTAAACAATGGGCATCGGCGCAGTAAATGGCCGGTAAATCAATAGGTATTT